TACTAAATTGTATGTTAAGAGTATGTTTAGTTTCATGAGAACTTGTCAAACTACCTTCCAAAGTATCTTTACAATTTTGCATTCCCACCAGCAAGAAATGAGAATTCCTGTTGCTCAACATCTTTGTCAGCATTGTGTGTTGCCAGTATTTTGGATTTTAACTATTCTAATAGGTATGAGTTTGTTCTTTCATGGGTCAAACACCAAATACAAAGTCACCTGGACTTTCTCCTATGTTTTATCCTAGGAGTTCTGCATTTTACATTTTACATTTAGGCTTATGATCAATTTTAAGGTAATTTTTTGTGAGCAGTATAAGGTCTATACCAACATTTATTTAATTTTTTAACATGTGGATGTTTTGGCTCCATTTGTTGAAAAGACTAATCTTCCTCCAGTAATTGCCATTATTATTTGTCAAAGATCAGTTCAACATCAGGAATTTATAAAAGGGGCACATCATTATATACATTCTATTTTTTCAAATATTACTTTGCTATATCAAGAATGAATTGCAATGACATTGGAGAAACAATAGAAGATTAATAGAGATTCTGCAGAAGGTGTCAAAAGAACTTGCTATTTTGGGATTTGAAGGTAAAAGAAAGCAAGAGAGCAGAACATAATAATGTTTTAGCAATATGAATATAGAGAATAATGGCTGACAACTTCTAAAAGTCACATTCAGCTCAAGGTTCTATAATGTAACTGAAATTTGTGAGTTGTTAAAAAGATGGAGGGGGTTGTTTATTTCTATATCTCTTTTAATTTTTATTTAAAACTATATGTTTTATAATTTAAATTTTTATTTTAAATTATAAATACTTAAAATTATGATGAAGTTAGTATTTCATAAAAGTCATTCTACAAAATACTGTTCATAGTATAGGATGGTTAGAAGATACAAATGCACAAACAATAAGAAGGTTTTCATAAGATATCCGCATGTTAAATACCTTAACCTCCTTTTCAGAATGAAACTAGTAAGAATAATGAGTAATAATTTGCCTCCGGAATTACATTCAATAATTTCTTACAATTTAGGTCATAATACACTGGTTTCTTTTTAAGCTGTAATTCAATTGTTACTGGTAATTTTCTAAATGGTTCTCTATGTAGTCCTGTCGCCATGTCAATTAACACTTTTAAAAGAATTGAAGAATAAGAAAGACAATAGGTTTTTATAGTGAGTTCTTCAAAAGCTGAAATATGGAAAGATATTTGTTACACTAATGATAATAATCTCATACAAAACATAGTCCCCTTTTTTAATTAAGTAAAACCACAAAGGAGAAAATAGCAATTGCTGCAATGGTAAAATGAAATGTCCATCCTCTAAGGAGGGGTAGTATAATAGAATAAGATTTCTAAAAATAATGCCTTTAGTTTTCCTTTCATTTGGAAACTATAGGACTACAGTCTTTGGAAGCATCTTGATTTACCTGTCTTTGCTACTGTTCCAAGGTGACAATAGGGGTTTATACACAGAATTAAGAAAATAATTCTATGTGAATAATACTATGGCTTTCTTATGTTTTATTCCCCTCAAACCTTTTATGTGTTTCCAATTGTGGTCCTTAATAGATATTTAAATAATAGTGTGCCTGTGTAAATGACTATATATTATTTCTACTCAAAAATCTGGAATAAGAAAATTTACATTTTGTTCAAGACATGTCTTCATCAGAAAACAATTAAAACTCTATGGTTTGCCCTGGATGGTGTATCACAGTGGATTCAGTGTGGGCCTGTGAAGCAAAGGATCGCCGTTTGATTCCCAGTCAGGGCACATGCCTGGGTTGCAGGCCAGTTCCCAGCAGGGACATATGAGAGGCAACCATACATTGATATTTCTCTCCCTCTCTCCTTCCCTTCCACTCTAAAGATAAATAAATACAATCTTAAAAAAACACTCTATGGTTTAACTTAGTTCCTTCCTTCCTTCCTTCCTTCCTTCCTTCCTTCCTTCCTTCCTTCCTTCCTTCCTTCCTTCCTTCCTTCCTAGCTGGGTAAGACAGGGGTAAATATCCACCACACAAATGCCCTCAGAAATTTTATAACCCCAATTTTAAATGTTGAAAGATAATATAAAACTCATATAGTTTCAATTATGAATCTGATACATAAAACACCTATAAAATATCTGATTCTGTGGTTCTCAAATCTAATCCCAGTGAGGATCATCCCAGGAATTTTTTAAATTGCTAATACTTAGGTTCTATCCAGAACAATTAAAGCAGAATGTTTAGGCTAAGTCCTGTTCATCATCATGTTTTTAAAAGCCCCCACTGTGGAAATAATGGGCCACAAGGTTTGAGAAACACTGTGCCCACTTATACATGTGACAACTAGTTAGAATAATTTCTGCAATTATTATCTAACATATGTAAACAAAACTAATTAGGGAACTCTGAAATTTCTGAAGATCCATAAAAAATTGCCCTGGATTTCTGGAAAAGCAGTATGAGGAGCTCAGTGAACCCTTTCTCCAGTCAAACAGCTATTTGTTTGGTGAAAAATATTTTAAAATAATAATAACCATTTAAATTCTCTGGAAATTATCCTATGTTCATACAACAACTTGAGAAACAGTCATTAAGAAAAACCTACTAAATCTTGTAAAACTAGAAAATTTGGCTCCTTACTCATTCGAGTTTCTTGTCCCTCAAACTGTTCCCAGCATCTCAGTGTCTATGGCAGAGAAAACGAGGCTTCTTCTTTTCTGAGCTCTTACCCAGAGCTATGGTTTCACCCGAAAAGGACAGGTCCTCAGCAGCTCTGTGTTGCCTGAGCACCCTTCTGCTCAGGTGCCACAAATTGTTTAGGCTGGAAACAACTAAGTGCCCATCAGTAAATGAATGGATCAAAAAACTATGGTACATTGACACAATTGAACACTATGCAGCAGAGAAAGAAGGAGCTACTACCCTTTGCAACAACATAGATGGAACTGAGGAACATTATGCTGAGTGAAGTAAGCCAGGTGGTGAGGGACAAATACCAGATGATCTCACCTTTAAGTGGAACTTAATAAAAGAAAAAAGCAAGCAAAATATAATCAGAGATACTGAAATTAAGAATAATCTGACAGTAACCAGAGGAGAAGTGGGAGAGGGTAATGGGGTGAAGGGGTTTTAGGAACAACTATAAAGGACCCATGGACAAAATCAAGAGCAGGGGTGGAAGCAAGGGAGGGAGGCAGATTTGGCTGGGGTAGCGGGGAGTGGTGGGGTGTAAATGCAAACAACTGTAATTGAACAACAATAAAGTAATTTAAAGTAAAGAAAAAGAAAATTCAAGAAAGAAAAGGTTCTACCTGAAAGAGAGTTTCACAGCAGTAGGGCACTGAGGCAGCATTATATTCAATGAAACTCAAGTGACCAGAAAACTACTGGAGCTTCCTAAACTGACTTTTAATCTTGGGGAAGGGTTGGAATTTGGAACATTTGGGGTTGTTGATAGTTATTCTCTCAAACATGATCAAATACATGTAAGAATGATATTCAAAACTATTTTGAAAAGTTTGAAAACACACATTAATAATACATTTATATACAAATAACAGAATATTTAATTTTAATTTTTATAAATTAGTTGTATATATTATGGAACTGCTTACCTAGTTAAAATATAGAAGAAAGAAGAGTCATGTTGCAGCACAAGAGAATATCTTTAAAAATATCTCTTCCATTGTAATTGCATTTTAGGGTAAATTATCCATTTATTCATGTGGCTTCCCTATAAAATAAGCAAAATGGTCACATCAACTACAAGTTTATCTTTTTCTTCCTTTTATTTTAGGCATTACAACACCTACATTATATATATACACACATATAATTTATATGTATAATTTTATATAATATATAACATATATGATACATTATATATAATTTTATACATAGATATGTCTATATAATATATAATTTATCTATATCTTTCTATCTATATGTAATTTATATATATACAAATTATCTATATGTTCTCATACACACCTATATAAATGTACAGATATTTTCAGACTCTCTCATTTTCAAGGGAGGGAGAATCTCTCTCTAACAGCCTACTGATAAGCCAATTCAAAATTAGAAGACAAATAGAGAAAATAAAGACCATAGAGGTGAAAGGATGTTTACAAGAAATGTAAAGTGAAATTATACTAATCTGTATAACAAAGAGCAAGAAAGGAGAGACACTCTGGGAGGTGTCTGAGGGAATTTGGGAAGAGAAAAATGAATATAGGAAATATTTTTCAGTTTTACAACAAAAGTTTTAACACTGATTTTGGAAGATGTAAGGATTAAAATTCTTTTTAAATACCTTTATTGTTGACATACCATGTTTTTCTGAAAATAATGTTACTCTAACATTGATCCCTGATATCTGATTGGAGGGTTTCAATTGGATTAAAAATGCAAAAAGCAGGTTTTTGTGGACTTGGGATGCGGGCTGGAAAAGTTACTGACATGGCACTGCTGAACTTACTTTACTCATTCTCTATTGTCTTTCAAGGCACCATTTGTCCACTACTGAAGAGGCAGAAGAACATCTGTTTTTGAAGTTAGATAGGATTCAGCTAATGTTTGACATTAAGCTTGTTGTTTCACTCATTTTAATGACTAAAAATGGGTTAATAGGAAAATTAACTCTCGGAGTTAATGAGAGTTAAGAACTAAACTAAAGAACTAACTAAAACTTAGTTCTTTAAGTTTTAAATAAAATAATGCACAAAATGCTTACTAAATCTCTGGAACATATGCATATGAATTGTATTTTTAGGAAAGAAAATAAGAGAACCCAAGAGGGTTCACTGACACAGGCAGAAATTGGTCAGTGAAGAAAAACTTTCTGAGAAAATACACCCCCCCAAAATACTTAAGAGGTGTTTGAAAAATGCAAGTTTGGATGGAATAGGTGGATGAACAAATTCACAAAAACTTTTTACAACTATTCAAATAGTGAGAGTTTAATGTCTAAGATGTTAAAAATATATTAAAAGACAGCATCTTTCCAAGAGCTAAGGCTGGCTATAGCCATAGGATCTCCAACTGCGTGGGAGAGCAACCTGAAGACACTTTGACAGCTCAGGTCAGCATAATACCTGCAGCTGCCACTCGCCTTTCCTATAATATCTCAGGGGGAAAAAAGAATAGCTGCATTGATTAAATTCCTCTTTTACACCCCAGTTCTTTCCCACTGAAACACTTTTCATTCTCTAAAATACTAATGCTCTTCACAATTTAATGAGAGATTAACATAGCTAACGTATTCTTTACACTGTACAGTTAGAAGAGATGTCTAAAGTCCATGGTATTTTACTAGTCTTCCTTAAAATATATATTTAATATGTTTACTATAAAGCCTTTATTAAAAACATGGGTGGGGAAGTGGGGGAATAGAGGGAGAAAAGGTACAGAGAATAAGTAGCATAGATAGTAGGTAGAAAATAGACAGGGGGAGGTTAAGAATCATATAGGAAATGGAGAAGTAAAGAACTTATATGTACGACCCATGGACATGAACTAAAGGGGGGGAATGTGGGTGGGAGGGGAACGGCAGAATGGACAAGAATAAAGGGGGGAAATGGGACAACCGTAATAGCATAATCAATAAAATATATTTTAAAAAGGAAAAAGGTGCTCTGGCTGGCATAGCTCAGCCAAATGAGCATGGTCTGCGAACCAGAGTGTCACCAGTTCAGTTTCCAGTCAGGGCACATGCCTGGGTTGCAGGCCAGGTCCCCAATGGGGGCCACATAAGAGGCAACCACACATGGATGTTTCTCTCCCTCTCTTTCTCCCTCCCTTCTCCTCTCTCTAAAAGTAAATAAATAAAACTAAAAAAAATAAAATAAAGAGGAAAATGAAGTCAGAGCGATCCAAAGGTTAATTAAATAAATAATTTAAAACAATATAAATAATTGAAACATGCGGTCACCCACTATCTTGTTATGATTAAATTGGACTCCTGTGGACGACTATTTATGGCTTGTTACATATGCATTTAGTTATCTGTTTCAGATGAACTTGTTAACTAAAAAATAAAATAAAACGTGTAAGAATCCCATGTTTAGTAATAAGACTACAATGGTAATTAGACTAATCCTTCTGAAAACAACTAATAATTCTGAATGATACATATTTTAAAAGCTTCTTAAAGCATCAAAACATAGGTAAGACAGCAAAACATAATCATGCTAATAACTAAAGTGAACCAGGAGACTAAGAAGTAAATTCCTTTCACCTGAGAACAGTTTTAAAACTCAGAAATTACTAGCTTGGGTGTCCCCATTAAAAGAGACAAACCAAAGGTGTCTACATAGGGGCTACAAAAGGCTGTATATTCCAATTAGGGTGCCCTGAGGGCAACCATGCCCTACACCCACACCAAGGGACTGCAAGGAAAGCTGTCTAGGAAAATGCTACAAAATTGTAACTTCTACTCACCCACCCAAGGATTTGCCATCCAAGTTGCCATTACATGGGCATTCTAAAACTTTAAGCCACAAATTTAATCTAAAGTTTTCTAGATGGGTGCTTCTGCTGCTTTGTACTGAAAGGATGCATGTCTATGCTAAATGAATTTCCTATTGTGTATGGAAATAAAGTTCCACAGATACTGTAACAAGAGAAGCAAAAACTTTAAATACATGTTATTAACAAAGCATTATGAGTGAAAGCTAGCCAAACAAGAGAAATGACAAATAAATAAGCAAAAAATGTATTTTAGAAAGTATTATTAATTATAACAATGTCCACTATATTTAAATATATAAATACATGCTTTTGAACATTATTAGGAAATTAGAAACACTGAAAATGATCAGGTTTTAAAGAATTTAATACAACTTCTAGAAAATAAAATATAATCAAAAGTATGACATTATGAACTGAAATTGAAATTAAACCCTCTGTATAGTAATGTAGATCAGAAAATGCTGAAGAAAGAATTAAGAAACTGGAAGGTTGATCAAAATAAATTACCTAAAATGTGCCACAGAGGGACGAAGAATTGGAAGCTATTTTGACAAGTAAGGAATATGGAGGAAGGTGTTTGAAGATCTGACACATGCCTTGCAGTAGTTCCAGAAAACAGTGAAGAACAGAACAGAATCTGTGAAAAGACATCTAATCACATATTCATGAACCCAGTGAATATCAGGCAAGAATAAGAAAAATTTTTCCCCTAGAAGTATAGAGCAAAACTTCAAAGAAACCTCTCTTTAAGTATCCAGAAGGGAAAAAAGACAAAAATACGGTCAAAGAAGTGACAGTTTGGAGATCAGAACAGAAGGTAGAAGCCAGAGGCCAATGGAACTATATCTAAATCATAGCATGGTGCATCTCAACTAGCTGAAGAATTAGGTTTAAAAAATGTATAACACATTAAAAAACTGATTTGGTAACTGTTCGGGGTTGAATTGTGTCCCTCAAAAAAAAAAAGGCACATTGAGATCCAAACATACACTTGTTGCAGATAAAATGAGGTTGTACTGGGGTAGAATAGACACCAAAGCCACTAGTGATCTTACAAGATGACCATGTGAAGATACAGAGACATAGGAAAAAAAACATGTGAAAGGCAGAGATTAGAGCTAATGCAGCTGCAATGCAAGAAATGCCCAAGATTGCTAGCAAACCGCCAGAAGCTAGGAAGAGGCAAGGAAGCTTCTCTTATAGGTTTCAGAAGGAGCCCTTCCCAGACAACCCCTTACTTGATTTTGGACTTCTAGCCTCTAGTACTGTAAAACAATAAATAGTTATTGTTTTAAGCCATCCGGCTGACACTTTTTACAGCTGCCCTAGGAAATTAATACACTAACTTTGTCCATTATGGAGTTATTGAATATCTCTATTATAGCTCTATTATAAGAGATTTTGTTTTTATTGAATTAAATTGCTGTTATATCATTAATGATGTCAGGAGAAATTCGTACCATAGAGGCTACAAATTGTCTGATAAGTTGTTGTGGACTGCTCTGCCTGGTTTCAGGAATTGTAACTGCCCCCCATGGCTAAGGATGAGCGAGCAACCTCTGGAATGCGAGCCACAGGAGACAAAGCTTGTCTCTGGTAGCAAATGCTGCTTCAGTTTTCTTCCTGCCCCCAAAGCATGGTTGGAAGTCAAAGATGGTTAAGACCCCTCCGAGGAGGGCAACCTAAGCCAGATTCAATCACTTGGGATGCCATCATGGAAGGACTTGGGGGGCTGCAACAAAGAGCAAGCAATGGACTCTTGCCCCCTGGCTATATGATATAGCTGAGTCACCACATCCTCTAGGAGAAACGCTTCCTGGCTCTAATCCACTTAAACCCGAAAACCTGATGGGGAGGGGTGAAGCTCCTTGCCTTGCTAGAGCAGATCCCAGGGTGGGGGATGTGTGGAAATCTAGCATCACAGAGAATTACTAAAAACTTCTGTGAAACCTGCTGTGCCAAGAGTGTTTTTATTCATATGTTAACAGTCTGAGCAGGAAACCCTAAAGTTTCTGCAAACTCCCTTCCTGAAAGACTCTGACTCAGACTAAGCCCTCAGATTTCTTTGAAATGTTATCTGCTGTTTGATCCTTGCCACCAGGTATTCCTGTGTATTACAAGCCAATTAAAGCCCCTGGAGGAAGGGGCTCGAGGCCTTTTCCTCTGAGGAACTGGCCACCTCTCCTCCCCAAGCAGATCTTGTCTTGAGTGTTTCCTTTCATCCAGGTTGGATGGGGGGATTTGTGGGTAAAGTCACTCCCACAATGAGTATAAGTTTAATGGGGCTCATGAAGAGGTATAATTTAGTAACATCCACAGTAAATCTAAGATTGCACTATAATCCCTAACACTCAATAAAGAAATTGGAATATATTAGAAAGATTTGATGAATAAGTTACACTACAGCTTATTTGACTGGATAAACAGTCACATATTACTAAATTATAGTACCAAATTACTAGTTTATGGTACTACAATAGAATATTTTAATGTATTATAGTCTTGAAATATTTCGAATATAATTTCTATATAGTGTAAGTATATATATGCCACAACTTTCAAATAAAAAAAATATACCTAAAAATAAATAAAAACTAGAAAACATAAATAATACTATTACTACTCAAGAAGTTGAATAGTTAAAACTCTTTCCTAATAGGAAGCCTGAGTACAAGTTGGATTTCTGGGGTGACTTTAACTGCATTTCTTCAAAGAAATAATTCTATCCTCATAGAAACTTCTCCCGAGAAGAGAAAATAATGGAAATATTCTCAGGAAAATATAAAATGTATAACTAAAACCAAAAAGGGCATCATGATAAGGAAAAATAATAAGTTGATTTCAATTTTTGAGATGTGATCCATGTAGAGGTAAAAATCATAGACAAAATGTCCACAAGCCAATCCTGCAATATGCAAAAATAATAATTTGTCATGTTCAAGTTTATTTTCCCTCCTAGAAGTTCAAGCTTGATTTAACTTTAAAAATTAATAAAATTCAACACCTATGCAGAATAAAGAAGAAAAATCATATCATCTCTCTAGATAAGAAAGAACATTTGATAAAATTTAGTGTTTACTGTAAAAACTCTTGGTGAACTAGGAATAGAAAGTGAGTTGATTAATTTGATTAACTAAATCCTGAAAACTATGATAAACATCAGAGTTTATAATCAAATGTCAGAATATTTTTCTCTCCATTTGGGTGTAAGACAGACACGCAAACCTCTACATCTGCTGTTGTACAGGTTCCAACTCTCTAAAACACATTTCTTTTTTGTTAGGCAGAAATCTATTAGATTTTGTCAAAAATATTATCAGAAGGGAATTGGGAGGAAATACAAATAGAGGCAAATGTTCAGTCTGAATTCCATCCACAAACACGAATCAAGAATTTATTGTGTGCTTGGCCATTTTGTCTATCACCCCACTTGCTTATATTTACACCAACCACATGTGGTCCTGGTTACCATTGTTCGTGTTATTTTCACATTAAGTAATATGGCTTCCGACTTGGTTCTGTTTTTTTTTTTTTATTGCTTTTACTATTCTGTATTCCATGAATTCATATAGATTTTAGAATCAACTTCTTAGTTTCTATATTTTTTAAAAGTCCATCAGAATGCTGATAGAGATTTTGCTGAACTTATTGATCA